AAAAAAAAAAAAAAAAAAAAAAAAAATCCGGCCGGCCGGCCGAACCGGACGGACCGGTTCCGACCGGCCGTCGTTTCCGGACGGCTTTCTTGCCGTCCGGCCGGCCGGTTCGGACAGCAACGGTCCGTCCGGCCGTGCTTTCCGGCCGGTATTACTTGTCGTCCGGCCGGCCGGTCCGGACGGCTTTTAGTCCGTCCGGTTCCGGCGTCCGGACGGCTTTTAGCCCGTCCGGAACCGGCGACCGTACACGTATTTTTTCGTACCTCCGAATTTGACGACATTTCACCGTACACTTTCCTCTGAGATGTTTAGAAAAAATGAGAAGGGCAAAATTGTCCAAGGGGGGCGGTGACTAGTAAAATGGGGGGCGGTGAATAACAACACCCTAATAAAAAGTATAACACAGTCGTGAATGAAGACAAAAAAATTATATCCTTCACCTTCAGCAAGTCAATGTATGGTACAGCAAAAGATGGTATTTAATTACCGATAAAAAAAGAAAAGATGCTATTTAATTAGCTTTGCATATGTCTTAGATATTGTTTTTTATTGCATAATCTTTATTGGGAAGGCAACAAAAGTAGCTGCTTACATGTCACTATTAAGTTAAAATTTTAAATTGATTTCACAGAACAATGGATCAACATATATCTTCGATTTTTTAGTTTCTCTAAAATCACCCTCGTAATATTAAAATTAATATTCACTATAAAAGTCAACATTTAATTTGTTCTTATCCTATTATATATATATATATTCAATTGTTATTATAAAGTGCAAGAGTAACTACTAGCTACTTTCAATTCCTTTTTCTTATTCTTTAATCTCATCCATTTTTAATGGTAACACTTTTTTTTTTTATATTGCAACATCTAAGCTCTAATAATCAGTTTTATCTTATGAACGCAAAATCTTGTAGAGTTGAATTAGACGTGATTAAAACATTAAACACACATTTTCCAAAACTCAAAAGAACTACAAATTGCATATAGCCTCACAAGAAACATATAATTACACACCGAGTACCTAAGTCGGCTATAATATCAAATCGACCCCGTAACTTCTTCCCCGAGTCATATACTTCCTACAACTTTTCTTAATTCCATTTATGCACCACATATGTATTGGAATATTTCATTTCAGCCCCATTTCATATTTTCCCTAGTCCCTACTTCCTACATCTTTTCTCAACTCCATTTCTGCACCCACACGTATTATAATATTTAATTTCAGCCCCATTTCTGCAGGGGCCTTTGAACAAAGTGTATTCAATTCTAATCCCTACAATACCAAAAGAATTATCAAGAATTTCCATTTCCTGATTTGTTGATCTTTTTGTTGTAGTTTGAAACACTGCATTGTCCGTTTTGGGTAATCCTGGAATTTTTGCTAGGTACAAAATTAACTACTAGTGGTACTTAACCATCCATAAGAAGGTAAAAATATTCCAATTTCATAGCACTTTTACTTGATGATAAAATGCTGTAGCTTAAAATGCAAATTAAATCCACAATATTCTCACAATGCAAATTAAATCCAGAAAAATATTCCAAAATTACTTTTACTTGACGATAAAATGCAAATTAAATCCACAATATTCTCACAATCAATGTTATGAAAATATCATTTTATTTTAGATGCGGCGGATTTTCCTTCTATTGGTACACTAAATATCAAATATTTGCATTCTTTATGGGATGTTGATTTACTTTCTTTATGAAAAACAATATTTTTCTATTCTCACCATAAATAAATATGTAGTTTTGCAATGGATGGACTTATTTATATTGAAACGAATTTTGAGAGGAGAATGTAAAATAAAAGTTTTTTTTTTTTTTTTTAAAATTTTAAACTGAGACTTTCTACTTGCACGATTTGTCTTTATTTTATTATAACTAATGTGTCACACAATGAAACTATGGGAGAAAATAATAGAAACTAGGCTAAGGCAAGAACAAACATAATGGAAAACTTTATGCCAGACNTTGTAATTAATTCGAATCCATACCTAGAAAAAACGATATGTTGCTAGGAATTTTGATATTTTTGTATATGCTTGATAAAAATCAATTAGTTACTGATATTATATCGGACTTAGCTAGTCATATATGTCCCAAATCCCAAATATTCATTTTATGCACATATCATTTTCAATATGATTTAGTCTTGCCAGCAAGTTCATTTAAACAAATATACATCTTGTCACCAAAGTTCAATTCATTCATGTGAATTCTCACTATTGAATTGATAATGATACAAAAAATTTTATTTTTTAACATATATGTATATATATATATTATTTTTTTTCCTATAATTATATGTATTGTTGTATAGATGTGTACTCAGTCAAAATTAATATAGAGAAAAACCTCGTGTTTGTCGAGGGCCCAATTGACCCCATGACCCTCCTAAACAAAGTCGCGAAGCTCGAGAAATCGGTCCAACTCCTACCGAACAACATTCACCAAGATTGCTATCGGGGGCCCATTGGGCCCACCAACCCTCACTACACGAGGAAGAAAGCAAAAGGAAGAAACAAGCCTCACAAGTGTGAGGCATACAAGCCACTAAAGGTGGACAAGAGAGTGTGTCCGGATTTTTTCTGCACGATTCGCCTGAGGTCTCGATCGATCGTGGATAAGGTGTTGGGACATGATTCGCTATTTGGGGGCTTTTCGTTTTTCGGTTTCGGGACCCACCCGGCCGAGGGGTATCCACCGGGATTTGGGTACACTCAGCCGCCACCGATGTTTGGGTACGGCCGGCCGCATGTCGCGGTTCGACATCCGTTTAGGTTTCATTGAGTTGGAAATAGGGAAAATGAGGTTTGATGGTGGTGGTTGCATTTTCATATGGTTGGAGAGATTTTATGTGGTTAGTTGTGTTTTTGAAAGGATTTTGTGTGGTTGTGTTTGTAGGATGTGATTTTTTTTTTTTTGTATGTTGGATCTTTGTTTATATGTGTAGTGAAGGTTTGTTTATATGTGTAATGAAGGTTTGAATTGATAAAGATTTGGTTTTGTCTGTCTGTTACGTTCATAGTTTGTTCATTTGATAATTGAACTGAGCTTCAACAAAAAATTAAGGGCTTGTTTGGGAGCACTTATTCTACAAAAGTCCATCTTAAAAATGGACTTTTCATTAAGTGCATTTACAAAAGTCCTTACACAACTTTTACATATGTTTGGTGAATCTCATTTTAAATAAGTGCTTTAGTTACTAAATAATAATATTTTTTACACATAAAAATTTTCTACCTACTACATATGATTTAATATTATATTATGGTGATCTGGACATATATATTATCTATGAACCATTTAAATATATTAATAATTAAGTTTTTCATATTTTTTTACCTTTATCAAAATGATATTCAAAAAATATTTTTTTATGTCATTATTTAACCATATAATGTTATATGATTATTGATTTAAAAGAAACAAAATTATGCAAATATATTAGACCAATTTTTATGTCCTCCCTTTGGACATGTGCTCACAACATAATTCAACAAACACTTTGTGAGCATCACCATTCCAAACAGCCTTGGGTTTCACAATTTTCTTAAACAAATTTGCATTTAGATCAAGTTCCATATCTTCATCAACAAGCATAAAAAAAAAAATAAAAAATTAAATAATATGTTATATAAAGAAAACAAATTATCTTATGCAACTCAAAATGGAGTAAATAATTAACAGATGTAGGTTTCAGAAGTACCTAATTCCCACTTCTCCAAAATGGACTTATTGGGAAGTGACTTTCTCAAAAGTGAATTCAATATAAATCACCAAACACCTTAAAATCATTCAAATGAGCTTTTAAATCAAGAAGCCCATTTCAAAAGTGTTTTCAAACACACACTAAGTTTGTTTGGTAACCGAATGAATATGAGTTTGTTCACGAACCACCCAGATTGTGCTCGAAGCAAATTTTGCAAGATAATTGATCTTCTGAAAAGTTTTTGAAATAAATAAATAATAATACAATATGTTCAGCCTATAATGATACAAGCTAGACATGGCGAAAACCGGTTTCGGGCGCAGTCCTAGGCCGCGACCGCTAAGAGTTGGCCGATCTTGAATTGAACCGAACATATGCACGGGCCGATTCGGTGAAACGCAGATTTCGAGTCGGTCCAATTCATTAAAAAAATAAAAAAATCAAAAAAATAATAATTAAAAAAAGGACCGAACCGTCGGTTCCAGTTGGGAACTGACCCTGCGGTTCAAAAAGTACATACATAGGCCCAGAATCGTCTCGGTCAAACCAAAGGCTCAGTTCAAAGCCGTTGACCACGGGTCGGTTCAGGACCGGTTCAGATCAAACCTGCGACCCGTGGTCACGTAGATACAAGCCACAAAATTAAATGGTCTATCAACAAGTTCCGGAAACAACGTTGACCCAATGGCCCATTATACAAGCCCTTAAAACTTATGATTGACTTGCAAAAGGCCCTATTGTCCATTGGCCCAAATGTAGATTATATTTGGGCCACATCCATTATGACTTGGACTTACTGATATAATAATTACAAATAAAGCCCAAAACACCTGCATATCAATTTCTCATCCTGCCTAGCTCGACAACGATTAAAAACTCAAAAAGCTCACCAGCATAAATAAACAACGCGAAGAAAATTTGCTCTGGCTTGATTTCTCTTCATTTGGGGTTTAGGGTTAGTCGGATTTGGATCCATATCATTTTTATTTTTTAATCCTCCTATTTTTTTTGTATCTTTTTTTTCCAATTATATCAGTTTAACTGTTGAATTAATCAATTTGCGGCAGATTCAATTCATCGAAAATGTTCCTCACCAGGTAGAAACGAAATCTTGTTTTGTGCTTGAACTTGGATTTAACTTGCTTTTTTTTTGCGTAAATATATTTGAAGTAATGGTGTATGAGTTTTGTGCTTCCTAAAGGACTGAGTATGATAGAGGAGTCAATACTTTCTCTCCTGAAGGCAGGCTGTTTCAAGTCGAGTATGCCATTGAGGCTATCAAGGTCATTATTTTTACTCATTTGAACAAAAATTATGATTTGAATTTATAGGTTTTTATGGATTGTGTTGGGTTCATTGTTATGGACATGGTCNNNTGTTATAGCTTGGCTCGACTGCAATTGGGATAAAAACCAAGGAGGGAGTAGTTCTTGCTGTTGAGAAGCGCATTACCTCACCACTTTTGGTATGATTTTGATCCATCTTAAGGAGATTTTAGATTCAGTTGAGAGTGTCTGTTGTAGCTGAATCAAGGAAGGATTTTTTTCGGAATGGCCCGTGTTTCAATTTTACCTATCTTTAGCAATTTTATATGGATGGTATTATCTTTATGTGGTTATAACTTATAAAATGTTATTAAAGATCTATTGTGTCTGTTTTCTCGCTTTCATGGCAAGTTAATTGCTGGGTTGCAGATTGTCAATAAGTCGAGTTATCTATAATGCGGACATATTACGCGTTTAGTTTCAACCTTTTCTTCTTCCACAACAACCATTTTACATTTTGCTGTGATTGGTTACTTAAGGCTGTTGCTCAAAAGTCTGGTCATATTTGGACATTAAATATCACATTCCACTGTTTTTCAGGAGCCTAGTAGTGTGGAGAAAATTATGGAGATTGATGAACATATAGGGTGTGCCATGAGTGGCCTAATTGCTGATGCGCGAACATTGGTTGAACATGCACGAGTCGAGACTCAGGTAACTCCTATTCGTCTTTATTGAATAATTGGCCTACTATTTTATGTAGATTTTTAACAATTTGCAATGTGGGACTCTTGAATCTGCTAGAATCATAGGTTCTCGTATGGTGAGCCCATGACTGTCGAGTCGACTACTCAAGCTCTCTGTGACCTTGCCTTGCGCTTTGGTGAGGGAGATGAGGAATCAATGGTTAGTCTCGTTTAATGTTCATACAAATATCTGTTAACGTGAAGAAATAGTAGTTAGTATTAGCCTAGAGACTCCAAACTGTTTTTCTTAACTAGTTTCACTCGATTATGGATTATGATTGAGCCTCACAAACATGATCTTTAACCTTCTCACTGATCTTAGTTCCTTATTTTATTGCAGTCAAGACCTTTTGGTGTATCTCTTCTCATTGCTGGCCATGATGAGAATGGACCCAGCTTGTAAGTTGTTCAGTTTCAATTGGTGAATGCTATCCTCTGCACTGTTCTCCGTTCATATCCGCCTGACATAAATCCTCGTTATAACCACCAAAATGTGATATATTTATGTGATTCGGGTTTTGCCTTTAAAGCATTATTTATGTCCAATATTAAAAAAGGATAGTTCAAAATCTTTCTGAATGCCGAAACTATCATTTATTATACAAGCTGTGGTATTAGCAATTCCATGCATATTCTTCCCGAGTATTCAAGTAATTTTATTTCTGCCAGCTGTATACTTTCTGGATTTCTAGATTTATTCGGATATCTTCATGCATAGATACTATACGGATCCTTCTGGTACTTTCTGGCAATGCAATGCGAAAGCCATTGGGTCGGGTTCTGAAGGTGCTGACAGCTCTTTGCAGGAGCAGTTCAATAAGGTATTGTGTTTATCAAACTTTTATCTACTGAAGGGAAGTTTCGGGCATGCTTGTGTACAAATATATCTGCTCAAAACAAGGTTTTTTTTGGTTATCCCATGATTGATTTTGAAAAAGTTGGTATGGTTAGTTTTTAGTGGGATTTGGGTTTATATTAAAAAAATATTTTAAAATAAATTAATTAAAGTTGATTTGATGTAAAAGTATGAGAGAGATGATGTGAAATGACGGTTATTTAAAATTATGCGAGCTATGAATAGTGAATTAAAGTTAATGTGATGTATAAAAATGATTGATTGCTATTATTTAATTATATTGATAATAATGAGGATAGTGGAGTTGGATTAAAGTTGAGTTAGATTTTGAGATGTCTTGATCGAACTATTTGCAAATCTGTGACTTCTAATTTTCAATTATATGATCTATTTATTGCTTGCTCTCAGGATCTAACTCTCAAGGAAGCTGAAACCATTGCTCTTTCTATCCTGAAGCAAGTCATGGAGGAAAAGGTACTTAAATATCTTACTTTTCCGAGCACATTAATGATACGCCCCTCGCAAATGGAAAAAGTGTTTCTCATTTTTAAAGAACTGAAATATTTTCTTTAATCCTGCTAAAACTCGAGCCACATGCCTTCATTTAGGGGAGGAAAAAAGAGATGAAAATTATACTAGTGATATTTAAGATTTCATTTTCAACACATCATTGCTTATTTGTGTGTAATGTTGTTTTCGGACAGGTTACACCTAACAATGTTGACATTGCCAAGGTTTCTCCAAGGTACCATCTTTACACCCCTTCTGAAGTCGAGGCTGTCATCAATCGCCTGTGAGAAGAGCAAAGCCCATTGGCTTCCTTTGTTTCACATCTGCCTCGATAATTATCAAAACTTTCCATTATATTTCGCAGCCCCGAGCACAATTTGTACTGCTGGCTCATAATGGCTCATAACATTGTAAACTGCTGCAATGCGTGTTGACCTTTCCCGGGTTTTGAATTCATCGAAGTACTTATAAAGTTTCTCTTAGGACGTGTTTGTATACAAATATATCTGCTGAAAATGAGTTTTTTTTTTTTATTATTATTATTATTAACTAGGATTAAGTTTGAAAAAATTGGTATGGTAAGTTAGTGGGATTTTGGATTTCTATTAAAATAATATTTAAAATAAAATAATTAAAATTGATTCCATTGGAAAAGTTTTAGAGAGATGGTGTGAAATGATAGTTAAGTTATGATGTGATATATAAGAATGATTGGTGGTATCATTTAATTATATTAATAATATTGAAGATAGTGAGGTTGAGTTACAGTTGAGACTTTGAGTTGAATTGAGTATGAGTTGAAATAATTTATAATCAAACACACCTTTACTGTTCTTGGGAAGAACGTACTATAGAATTTGGTGCATTGTCCAATTAATCGATCTTGATGTGTTTTGTGGTGGCTTGTGAAGATGAGATTCATTTGTTTATCTTTTTTCTGCAATGGCGCACAAATTTGAACAAAAATCCCTTTACTGTTGTTTAACCAAAGCTTTCTTTCCTTCTATTTATTATTTCGGTTTTCTAGCCATTTTTACCCAGAAAACTAAGTGGGAAAAAATTTACATATTGTATGAGTATGACATTTCTGGCTAACTTGTTTCTAGTAAATAATTCCAAACTTTATGTAGTAAATCATATCAAACAATTTTAAACAAAAAAAGTCCTTTGTCTACCAATACATTATTATTATTATTATTATTACTCAGAGCAAAAATCTTAAACAACAAAGACACGAAAATTTAAGCCGCGCGCAGTTAAAATCTTCTGATTGCTTGTATTAGTACAAAAGGAGAATTCTCGGTTGTGGATGAAATATATGCCTTGAGATACATACAATAACAAGGTCGAAAAATATTACTCAAAAACATTATATTCTCTTCTTGGCGGCTGAAAAGATGATAGCAAGGTCCTCAGTCGCGGTATTCATCCATGAATCTTTTGTGAAATTCAGTGAGACGAGAAATGATAGCTGGAATTCTATCCTCTTGAGGTAATATCGTGCATCTAAAATGCCATGTTCCAGGGACCTATCACCAAAGAAAAAATGCATCGTCGGTACAAAATCTCCTCACAGTCTAAGCACCCATTAGAGTGCATTTATAATATTCAAAGATGAATGGATGTATAGGCTATATTTTGGTGGTAGTTATTCTAATCAACGCTAAATTTGTATAAGTGAAACGATAACAAGCCGATTTACTTGTACTCAAATACAAAATAGTAACAATAAATATAAGGCAAAATTGCATCTTTAGTCTTGCTTGGTTTAAAGCCATAGGAATTTTAGTCCCAAGGTTCAAACAGTTGCTTGTTGGTCCTGTGATTTAATATTTTGCTGCAATTTCAATCATTTGAGGACTGAAAATTGCAACAAATTCCCAAATTCCTAGATATTTGATTAGCAATTGAAGCCTATAATATAAAATTTTGTTGTAATTTAAGTCATGTAATTTAAAATTTTGTGCAGCAGAACATTAAATTACAGGACCAAAAGGCAAAAAGTTGAAATCTTGAGACTAAAATTACTATGACGTTAAACCTACAAAACTAAAAATGCATTTTTGCCTAAATAAAAACAAAGTGTATCATTGATGATATGCGGGTAGCTTTTACCTGTCCAAATCCTGAACCCGGAACAACTACGATTCCAGTGGCATTAAGGAGCTGACGGGCATAGAATGCATCAGGGGCCGTGTTAACAGCTTTTGCAGCTTCTATTGCCTTATTGGGTAATTGAACTCGAGGAAACAGATACATTGCCCCTTCTGCTCTGTTGCATGTCACTCCTTCTAGATCATTGAGTGCCTCCTCAAGGCTCTGTAGAAAGGGAGAAAAAAAGGGAACTAAATTCAGCTTTGAACAGAACCCGATTAAAATAATATTTAAAATAAAATAATTAAAGTTGGTTTGATGTAGAAGAAGAAGAGAGATGATGTGAAGTGATGGTTAGTTAAAATTATGTGAGTGGATGAATAGTGAATTAAAGTTGGCATAATAATGTGTAACAATGATTGAGTGGTGTTATTTAATTATATTGATAATATTGAAGGTAGTGTGGTTGAGTTAAAAATTGAGTTAGATTTTAGTTATAAAAAGTGATTGGTTAAAAATGATTGAACTTTTTTAAAAAAATTTGTATCCACGTAAACAGGATGCCCGTAAAGTCCCACAAGCGAAAAACCGGTCATCAGACCTAGAACTCGTTTTGTTTGTGAATATCGTTGCAGGTTTTTACAACCTCAACAATCTCTGGGTGTTAGAAAAAAATCTCCATAAAAGTTGATTGATGAATTTTACAAACTGCACCTTGAATATAAGTGAATTTGTTAAGAAACAGAAACACCTCCGGTAATGAATGGTTAAGGGGCATTTATAATTTTCAAAGATATTTGGGTTTTGGGTAACTGAACGGAACTGCCCTTGGATGTTTTGGCTAACTATGGTTTTGCAAACCTCAAATGCTAACCTTTGCACGCCTTGCCAAGGAGGATAGGATTGCGTCTTTCTCTGCAGAATAAGACTCATACGATTCATCTCCCACCTGCTCACATTAGGTACGATTAAGAATTTATGGGGAAAATCGAGTAACAAAAAATGGGAAATTGGACAATAGCTTATAAGTTATATGTCATCTACTTGCATTTTCATGGAGTATACCAACAAAATTCACACGGTGTAGCTAGTCACGAGATAGAGACTTCCTTGACCCAAAGATAACACAACAGACTGGGTTGACTAAGAAATATAATTGTACTTCTGAAAAGTGCTATTTGGAGGTCAAATATCTAACCTTTGGAGGGTTCATGACAAGACTTGCAAGAATCTGACCCGAAATGTTAGAACAAAGGTTCACTGATGCCACTTTATAAATCTGCTCCCTTATTTCGGGACTAAATCCAGTAACTTCCATGTAGCCTCCTCTTTTTCCACATTCTCCGTAGTATCCTGCAAAAAATGGTAAAGATTCACTCATCTGCACCAAAATGCTCTGTTCAACCAGTTGATTAGAACCTCATCATAGCCCAACCTTTTGACACCGACTGGAAAGACACCAAGGAAATATCTTTCTCCCCGTAACCCATTGACCGTGCAATTTTCTTAAAGGAGTGGAACTGCTTGTCAGGCACATAAATATTTTCTTGGTATACCTGTAGATGGACATTAAAGGAGACTATTGGTATCCAAAAGTTCATGATACTAATCATTCTACTTCCAAGTGTTACAGATTTTAAGGTNGTTAAAAAAAAAAAAAAAAAAACAAAAAAAACAAAACAAAACAAAACAATTATTCATGAGTAACCAGAATGGGATCATTGCTTTAAGGAATGTGGTCACCTCATCTCCCAAGAGAACAATCCCTTCTTTCCTGCAAAAGTCCACAATTTGCTTTTGGTTGTCCTCAGCCAGAACCTTTAGAAGAAACGTAATTAGATACTGAAAACATGAGATAACTCGAAAGATCATTCAGAATTTGAAGATGACGATTAAGGATAACATGAAATGTCAAAACTATTGAATCAACCTTGATGAATTACTAGTAGTTTGTTACCTGCCCTGTGGGATTGCCAGGATTTATAACCACCAAGGCCCTGACACTAACGCCCTTAGCTTTGGCACTTTCTAACTGTTTTTTAAGTTCGGAAATCTCAAGTCCCCATCCAGTAGCTTCATCAAGGAAATAAGGAACCTGAAAAGAAAAGCAAAAAACCACAGGAGACAGGTAAATAATATTAACCCTTGTTTATTTTTTATTTTTTCCTCTTTTTTTTTTTCCGGGGCTTGAGGTGGGGATAAAATGAGAGAAAAGAAATAGTAAAATTCTAACATTTTATGGGATCTTCAACTTGCTAGAATTTTTACTTGAAATAGTATTTTTCCAACACTTATTTGGACACCTTATAAACTTGGCCAGGTAATACTTACGAGAGTGCCACCATGTAGTGCAATTGAAGCAGAATAAAGCGGATATTGTGGAATAGGGCACAGAATGCCATCATTCTTTGATCGTATTAGTAGCTGCATCATCATATGAACCTGAAAAAAAAAACAATATTATAAAGAGTCTTATCCAGGAATTGGAAATAGCAATTGCAAAAGTTTTCTCTATATAATAAGGCTATGTTATTGATACCGCAGGGCTTGCGCCATCTGTCAAGAAAATATCATTTGGATCAGCTGGGAATCCATCACGGGCTTCAATGCCTTTGCAAATTGTATCACGCAGTCCTTTGATACCCTGATTTCATTTAATAAAAGGAGAACTATTTAGTATATCAGCAGACCAGCTTTAATACATGTAAGGTTTCCAATAGAGGTTATCTGACCTGGCTGTGACTATAAGCACCGGTGGCTCTTCCAGGAATTTGGTCCAGGATTTCAAATGCTCGTTCAATGGAGTCAGCACTAAAAAAATCCACCATGTACAATTATTAATAACAAATGTTGGATCAATGAAGATATCTATTAAAAAAAACAGGAAACTCTGAATAATATCACCAGTCATAATTGAGTAAGAGATCTTAAAAATTAAACATTCATTATCCTGCCAACAGGATGCATATGTGGAAAGATGAGTTTGGAATATAAATTTAACACATAAAGCTAAAGAAATAAAAGGATGTTGGTTACAGTGATACACATTTTTTACTTCAGCAATGCGAAAAAAGACCTAAAACGGTGAACCCAAATGAATTACCAATAAGAGTATCATTGTGAGATTTCCATTGCTGTGTTGTTGCAATTTAGGCTCTTATTATATAGATAAATGTATTACAAGATACGAGTGACATTACCTAAATAAACCCTGTGTTTCAGATTTATCCAAAATAGCAGGATGATCACATAAAGCAAGGACCTGGAATAACAACCAAATGAGTTAGAAACACAAGTTGGGAAAAATTTACTTGAGTATACTGCATGAATTTTATACATGCCTCCCTGAAAAACGTGATTGGCTGCTGACCCAGTGATTGAGGATTTCCAATATTGCAATATAGTATCTGCAGAAGAGAAGAAACAACGCTAAATTCCCTTTAGATAATTTCAAATTCGAGAGAATAAACTTAAAATACAGATCCGTGTGTGCATACTAATCCTCAAATATTACAAGCACCGAATGTTATTTTGTGCATACCGTCTCTTTCTATTTTAAATACAAACCAACATTTTAAACAAGCTCTCCACATGCTTCAAATGAATACATAGTTCATATATTATATTAATGAATCACGAACTTGCACTAAGTTTTACATTTAGCAAGCTAATAAAGGAATAGGTACCTCATCAAATGGATGAGCATCTGGATTGACCTTCAATTGCTCTTGTAATTTCTGGTAAGAAAAACCACGTTAACCTTAACACGACACCAGAAACAAATGCTATACAAATCAACAACACAAAAGGCAAACAATCAATTACCTGAGCAAGGATCACAATTTCGCCTCGAACAGCATATTCACACTCCAAAACCTGGTACAACAGTTCGATTATTACTATTATTATTATTATAAATTATTATTAAACGCCATCCACCATCTTAGCTCCAAAAGCTACCCAAACACAGAAGCAGCCCTCACAATCAATTGGAAAAAA